ACCTGGGGGTCCTGTGGGACCTCGGGGGGTACCTGATGGAGACAGGGCAGGCCCAGGGTGACTTCGGGTTCCCTGGGATGGGGCCACACCAGGTTCCGTCCCCTTCTGAGCACCTGGCTGGTCTGACACCAGCGTGCCAGCCTCGCAAATGGCAGTCCAGGTGTGAGGTGCGGAGGGGCCTGGCTTAGCGGGGAGGGGAAAAGGTGGGTCTCCTCTGAGGGCAGCGGGCGGGTCACCCCCTCCTCGGAGTCACAGGCGCCACATCCATCAGCAGCTGCAGGAGCGCCCACCTGTCCTGGCAACTCTGGGGCCCAGCTTGGCAGCCCTGGGCCATGACTGCACCAGCTGCCCAGGGTGACACTAGGGGGTAAGGCCGAGTGTGCCCGGTCATAACCTCTGCCTGGCCATCCACACACACGTGCTCCTTCATCCGTCCACCACCACTTGCAAGGCCAGGGCCACTGGTGTCGGACACCGGCCACGCAGTCGGGAGGTGGTGGAACCTGGTGCGGCCTGGACTCAAGGAACCCAAAGTCACCCCGGGCTTGGGCCATCACCGTGGTTGGCAGGAAGAATCACGGTCCTGCCAACCTCCCGGAAACAGAAACCTAGCCTCGCAGGCTCTGATCAGGGCCGCTTCACTCTGTCTCCTGTTAATTTGCTTTGAAATAAGCTGGAGAAGGCTGGGGACGCAGCTCTATGGAAAATTTCAAATGAAGTCCCCAAATCATCACCACTGGCCCAGCATTATCTCGGACAGTCTTCCAGCACTGCGCCACCCGCTGCTTCCCGAGCCTGGATTATTTTGACGAAACTGCCAGACAGTTCACCCGGAATACTTCAGAATGTATCCCTCAAAGGTGCAAAGAGCAATACGTAGCTAAAAACAACTACACCACCGTGAATATGGCCAAAACATGAATGATTTCTTAACACTCAACTGGCAGCTCTGTGTTCAAACTTCCCTGATGGTCTTCTAAATTTTCCTCCCACACATGTGTTTATTGGAAAAAGGATTCATGTAAGATCTATACATTGTGATTGATTGATACTGTTTAACTGCTTCCTCCCTCTCTCTATTTTATTTTATTTTGAGATAGGGTCTCTCGATGCCGTTCAGCGTGGCCTTGAACTCACTGTGTAGTCCAGGCTGGCCTCGAACTCACAATGACCCTCCTGCCTCTGCCTTCCAAGTGCCAGGATTACAGGTGTGTGCCACCACCCCAGCTGCAGTTTGTTAGAAATTGGGGCTGCGTCCTGTTTGGATTTTGCTGATTGCATCTGCCTGGGGTTGTTGAACACACTGCCCTCTCTCTTGTGCTTCCTGTAAATTGGTAATTTGATCAAGAGACAGGACTGGATTCAGGCTGCATTTCCTCAGCTCCTCTCCTGCCCCCAAAAGACAGTGCTGGACCTAACCCCAAACAGCTCCCTTGAAAAATAGAGATGGCTCCAACTTGGGGCCACCCAGCTTCACCCCTGTGTTTACAGAGGCTCTTCCTGTGAGACCCTGGTAGAAACAACTGAGCTAGCATTGATGAACACCCAAAACTGCCCCTAGGGTAACTGTATGGTCACAGTGCATTGCCATGGAAACACATACAGCTTCCCATATGAAAGCTGGTCCTTGTCCAGCATTTGGACTCATGGTGTCATGCACGAGTCTTTGTGGGGGGCAATAAGGGAGTCTAGGTGAACCCAGGATATCGTCCCAGTACGGGATAACCAGGACAGCGCACTTTCTTTCAGGGAAATGAATACTAAATGTTGATTTATAAAAGTACACTTTAGAATTTTTAAAAAGAAAATCAATTTGGTGCTTTTATGGCATGAAATGACGTGGGGACCAGAACTCTGACCTGTGACACTGCAGTGTATAAATAAAGACAGTTTACAATATCTTGACTTGACCCGGGGTCCCTGGGGAAGGGGGCTCCCCCATACTTCTGGTTTTTGCCCCCTGTGGGTGGATTAACAGGACACCTCCCTCCTTGAGCCAGGAGCACCTGGCTAGGCTGCACGAGGCAGCCCAGGGCATGGTGATCCCGCACGGAGAGGGTCCACTGGCTGCACACCCTAGGGCTAGCTACTAAATTTTGTTGGATCTTAGTTTTCTCACCTGTGAACTGGGGAGAACAATTGATTTTAATGAGACAGTGCATGTAACACTACTCAACAAACACATACAGCATCTTTCCACCCTGACTGCGTCCCTCCTGCTGCCCTGCCCTGCCCAGCAGCACTGACTCCCACCCTCGGGTGAGCTTCAGACAATTCCAGAACCCTGGGCCGAGGCGCTGGCCACACCCCCTTTGTCAGTGCCACCCAAGCTTCTCAAATCCCCAAAGATTGGCTCCTCACCCATTCTGGCCCCTAAAGACCTGTCTTTTAATCTCCACCCTGAAGTCCCACTCTGATGGCCTCCACTGGCTGCTTCCCACTTGGGCCTTCCTTTATGTGGGCTTCACATAAAACCACATGGCTGCCCAACTGTGAGATGGGGAAATGGCACCCCTGTCCTTGTAGCTGATTGGCTCACAGATAAACATGTGACTCAGGGATAGCCAACCACATTGCATGCTTTAGAAATTGTTTTTCTCTTAAGAGAAAGACAAAGGAGACCCCATTGGCTGTGGAGAGCCAAAAGGTCATAAGGTGATATAGCCTTTTGGGTCACACAGGAAAGCTGACTAAAGAGCCAAGGGACTTCAACAGCAACAGATAAAAACACCTTGGAAACTGAGCAAAGGGTGATCAACATCAACCACAGCTCTTGGTTCAGAGACGCAATGCAAGAAGACAAGGTTGGAAGTGTGGGTGCAAGCAGGGATTCGATTGCTTTCTGCAGGTAACAGATCTGGACCTCAAGATGCTATGGTGCTTGCAAAGTCTGGACCAAGTAGGAGGAACAGGAAGGAAAGGGTGTGCTCTCCAGATGTCTCTGGTGGAACATGGAAGCCCAGCTTACTGACTGCCAATTACCATTGTCCTGCAGAAACTTACATTTGGACCTGACCTAAGAGCAGTCGCTCAAAGCCTTCGAGACCTGGCAGCCTATCCTGAGGTTTTGCCTTAAAAACATCTGGCAGAGGTGCTTCCTGATGTACGTTGCCGTGGAATCCAGTTCAGAAAACGTAATGAAGACAAAGGGCCCGTGGGCATCAAGGTGGACCTAGGGACTAGCCACTCCTCTGTCCTCACCAGGGCGCAGGACAGAAGGAAGCACTGGCGGCTGGCCGTGAGTGGGCAAATTGGCTTTGGTGAGGTGTGAGCCAGAAAGGGCTGTGACCATTAATCCTGATATCAACTTCATGGATTAACAGATACGTAGCAGATTACTAAAGCCTGCTCCTGGGCATATCTGGATCAGTCATGGAGGGGTGGCCTTGGGTGCTGTATCTGGTTTCTGGCCCCTTCCTCTTTGGTGCTGTTCCCTGGATGCCATGAACTGAGCAGATTTCCTCCTCCACACCCTTCTGCCATATTGGTCTTGCCTTAGGGCCAGCTTACCATGGATTGAATCCTCTGAAACTGTAAGCCAAATGAAACCTCTCCTCCCTTAAACTGTGAACGGTGCTGTGCTTCCTCAGCCCTTGTATCTCCAGGTCCTGTCCCTGTGCCTCTCAGATGGCACAGATTCCCAAGTGACTGCCTGAAGCCCTCACGTGGCTTAAAATGAGGGGAGAAGCTGCCATGGGGCAGGTAGGAGACACAGCTCCTGACAGTTCTCTCCCGTTAGAAGTGGAAAGCCAATCCCCTTCCTCCTTTTTTTACTGCTCATGAAAATATGGGAATACTTCTGTCCCCATTGGCAAGCAGCCTGTCCTGAGCCCTTTCTTTTCCTACCTGGGGGCCTGTCCTCTACCCCTTGAAACTCTGGCTGCAGTGCTGGCACCTGGCTGTCCGGAATTTTCACTCTCACTGCTGTTGCTGTCCTTGTAGGGTGAGGGTGGCTTCACTGTCCTCACAGATGGTCCCACATTACAGCCTTGTCTTGTGGGTGGAAGTGGTCACGTGACCTGGTTTTAACCAATGAAATTGAGCAACAAAGCATGGGTGGGCTTCAAAAGAAGGGCAGGCTTGGCTGGCATATACCCTATGCCCCTTGTATTTCTCCTTCCCTCTACCTGAATTGTATTTGTGATGGCCGGAGCTCTGGCAGTCATCTTGACAGATGGTAGAAAATTGAAAGCACAAAGGAGCTTTAGATTCTTGTACACAGGGATCAGCTAGACTTCTATCATGTTAAGCTGTGTGCAGTTTGGGTTTTTATTAGAAGCTGTTAACTTCAGTCTCAAATGATACAATATCCAAACATCCAACAATAGGAGCATGATTAATAAATCACCATGCAGTCCTAGTGCAGAGTCGTTTATAGCCTTTCAACTGCGTACAAAAAGACCTAGTAACATGCAGAGGAGGTATGATGGACTGAACAGGTACAAGATAGAATGGATTATAAAATTTGTTTAAAAAAGAGAAAGCATGGATAACACATGTAGAGAAAACACTCAAACATTTACAGCATATTAAACTCTGGGTGATGGTGTCACGGTGGGTTTTTTCCTGTGATTCCTCCTTCCTTCCTTCCCTCCCTCTCTCCCCTTTTCTCTCCTCCTTTCTTTCTTCTTCGCCACACTGGGGATCAAACCCAGGACTTCACTCACTCTGAGCTACATCCCCAGCTCAGAGGTTTTTTCACTTTTTATTCTGAGACAGAGTCTCACTAAGTTGCTAAATTGCCCCGGCTGGGCTCCAACTTGTGATCCTCCTGCCTCAGCCTCCCAGAGCACTGGAATCACAGGTGTGCACCAGTGCACCTGACATTCTTCTATTTCTTGATGTATATAATACCTGCGATTTCCTGGGTTGGTGACAGAAGAGTAAGAATAGGTTTTTTTAAAAAAGATAAACACAACTCCCTTGTCCCGTTGAGAATTCCAGCACCTATCCTTCAACATCTTTGTGGGAAAGGTCCTTCATTGTCACCCGTGTCTTACCTTGGTTTCCAGGCGCTTGTGTGTGTCTGCACTGCTGCTCTGCTCAGAGGGGCTCTGCTCTTGGGCTCATTTACAGATTTTCCATTTTCCTGTGAATCTGTGACATTTAAGAAACGGAGCAAGTTAGAAAATATGTGCCTTCCCCTTTTCGGGCAATTCCTCTATGACCAGGAAAGTAGGGGATGGGGGAGGGCAATGGGGCAGGGCGGATAAGGCTATTGCTATGGAAACTGTAACTGTGATACGGAACTTCATTGGTGTGTACACACCACACACACACACACACACACACACAGCAGCCAGGGGGAAATAACACAAGGTATGATTGAAAATGTGGTGAATGCCTAAATTTTAAAGAAACGATTACAGTAAAACACGTTGCCATGGATTCCCCTCAAAAGCCTCCCTCTTGCTTCAGACTGGCTTTTTGTCCTTGCCACTTCCTGAAGCTGTTTTGCAAGTCCTCTTTCTGTAGTGTCTTTAGTTGCACTGTTGTGGCTGCCCCCACGTCCTGAATGGATTCAAACTGTTCACCTTCCACATTCATTTTGACTTTGCGGGGAGAGCCAGAAGTCACACGGTGAGTACAGACAGTGGGGAAGCGCGCACTGTAGTGTTTTGATGAGCTGCCTTTCCATTGGGTGGCGCTCAGCAGCAGCGATCCTTTTTTTTTTTTTTTTAACCCCACTTCATAAAGACACTCAGGAGAGAGAACTTCCAGAACTGCTTCCAAAAGTGGCAAGAACGTGGGATAAGTGTGTTCAAAGTAACAGGGTGTTTTCGGAGTGGGATTAATGGTGATGTGTCTTTTACTCTAATATTTTTAAAATTTCAGTGTCCACCATATATTTTGATTGTTCCTTTAAACCTGGTGACTGCCAGTACAGCAAACAACCTGGGTTGTGTCTTGGAGGACAATAAAGCTCCTGTATAATTCTGATTGGGCCAAAAATAAAAAGTCATTTGCAGTTTGTCAGTCTTCTTCACAACAAATTTTTCCGTGTCTGAGTCCTGATCCACAGTTGAAGTCCAGTCACCTTGCCCTACACCAGTGGTGGCGAACCGCTCCCAGCGTTCAGTGATAGAAACAGCCCGCTACAGATCGCACCTAGAACGTCACAGCACCCTTGGGTGGGATGATTAGGCAACCGTCTGGACAGCATCGGAAGTGCTCAGGGTGCCATGGCTATACACAGGCAGTGGCTTATTAAAGGGTGTCTCGGGCTGGGGATTTAACTCAGTGGCGCCGCCGCCTGCCTCGCAAGCGCAAGGAGCCGAGTTCGATCCCGATACCAAAAAATAAAAAACACCACCAGAAAAGGTTTCTTTTTTTCCTCGCCCCCTGAAGGATGCGTTTTCCGCAGATGAAATGGGAAAGGCCCTCCCGCTCCGACCCAAACCCCACCTCGTGACCCCGGAACGTGAGTCTTCTTTTCTCTCGAGGGAATGGGTTGGAGAGGCCTGATGGTGGGGAGGAGACTTTCTGTGGTGCTGCTCTGGGTCCTTCATCTCGAACTTGGGACCTTGCGCTTGCGAGGCTGGCGGCAGACCCCTGAGCTAACTGACTTCTCTCTCCGGTCCAGTGCCTCGGCGGCTTGACCCCGGGAGGAGGAAGGAGGAGTCACTGACACCGCTCCGCAGGGAGCCGAGAAGGTATCTGCCGGCTGGCTGGCGTGGCTCGGTCACGGGCTGGGCTGGCTTCCACTTTCCCGGCGCCGCCGAGGCTCCTTCCCTTCGGCCCTGTTCCCTCATCCACCTTTTCCGGGACCCGCAGGTCCCTCAGCCCCGCAGCTGCCTCACAGCTGTGTCTGCTTTGCTGGTTCTACGCCTCCCGCTCAGCAGGAGGCCGTGGGCATTTGCCATTTTTAACTTAAATTAAATTTAATTTTTCCCCCTGTGGAAGGGGTGGAACCCAGGCCCTCCCACATTCCAGCCAGCATCTACCACGAGCTGCACCCTCAGCCCCTTTCAATTAAATTTAAATGGAAGAACAGATTCTTGATTCTGTGATGGGAAAACTTCTAAGGATATTTGGAACACTTTGCCTATGTAAATCTCTCCTGATTGTACATTTTATGAAATCTAAATCCAGATCAAAGTATTTCCAATGAAAATTTGGCATGCCAATTGTGCAGGGCTACAATATAAAATGCTCAACAGATTTCAGACTTGATGTAAACAAATGTTATAAAATAGTTTGCTGATAATTCTTAGATTGGTCTTTACACAATACAGTATTTTGACAGTCATGGGTTACATAAATGGATTAAGATTGATTTCACCCATTTCTTTCTACTGTTTTCCTTTCATTTTTTGGAGACAGAGTCTTACTGTGTAGTTCGGGCTGGGCTTGAACTCACTATGCAGCCTAGAGTGGCCTTGAACACACAGGGATCCTCCTGCCTCAGCCTCCGGAGTGCTGGTATTATAGACGTGTGCTGCCATGCCTGGATTACTCACTCGTAATTTTATTATGTAGCCACTGAAAAGTTAAACCAATAGTGCAGTGTGCACCGCCTAGGGCTCCTGGAGAAGCCTCTCTGGGATCAGCAGGAGGGTCTCATTCTTTGGCTCTCCCACTCTGACACACAGCTTGTGGTACAGCGAGGCCATTATGAAATTGTGGTTCCTCGAGGGCAGAGATCTGTCTTTGTGGGTCTGGGGGTGTCCCCGTGACTCCCCACCTGTGCGCAGTCTCAGCTGACACGAGAGCGGAAAGAGAAATAGCAGCACCCAGCACCCAGCCTTCAGTGCCTTGGCTTCCCCAGCTTCTGGACTCAGGAGTTCGCAGCAGCCGCAAACCCTGCTGCCATCCAGTGGCAGGGCCAGCTTCCACCCCCAGGTCCGGCCTGGCCCTGGGCACAGCTTTACGAGTGGCCGTGAAGTCCTGAGTCCAAGCCTGAAGGGGCACGGTGCCCCCTCCCTGCTGGAGGCCAAGACCCCTCTCTGGGAGCAAGGCTGCACCCACCTTCTGCCCCAGTGGACCCCCGGCTGACCGTGGAGTTCGCACAAGCTGGTTGGACAGAGGAGTCGCCAACCGGCCCTGGGATCCAGACAAGAAAGAAAAGGCCTTGCTGCCAAAAGTCTCTGTGTTTTGAGGGAACCTGAACTTGCAAGAAAAGGTTGTGCCCCGCGAGTTAGTGAGTATTTCTGAAGGGGCTAATGAGCTAGCACGCCCATGCAGCACACGGTCCGGTGGCTGCTGCCATCCCCAGGAGCTGGGAAACTGTGTCACCCTCTGCCATCCCAGCTGGCTGCCCGCTCAGCCCCATGGGAATCCATGGGAAAAAGGGCTATCGCTCTGATGGGCCCCACTGCTAAAGGTTTCGGGGCTTTATTATGTGCGTGTGCGTGTGTGTGTGTAATTCTTTTGTGGCATTAGGGTTTTAACCCAGGGCCTTCAGCATGCTAGGCAGGGCTTCTGCAAAAGAGCTAACTTCCCAGCCCTTTTACTTTTTTCTTTTAAATTTCAGGACAAGGTCTCATTCAGTTGCCAGGCTGGCCTTGAACTTGCGATCCTCCTGCCTCAGCTTCCTAAGTGGCTGGGGTTACAGGCATGTACCATGCCAGACTCCACAAATATATTTTGAGCTGATAACATGTGCCGGAAACTGGTCTAAGTGGTTAAGGGGCCCTGGTGTGAAGAGATCCCAAGATTTTAATCTCACTCATTTTCAGGACAGCAGAAGTTCTAACACTCATGGTGACAGATGAGGGGCAGAACAGAGCTGCACAGTCACAGGTAACACAAGTGTGGCCAGCTGCGCACCCCAGCACATACAGCTGGGGGAGGTGGGCCACATCTTTTAAACCTAAGCCCGTCTTACTGTATAAGCTGAGAATACCAACATCCAGTGGGGACATTTGAATTCCTCAGAAAATGGCTTCACACTGTTCTGCCCCGCGAGGCCCGTCTCTGATCATTTCCAGGGCCTTTTATTCTCTTTCATACAGCAGAAACCTTTCAACCCTAACAACTCCACCTGGATGTAAAGGTACAGCTGTGCCAACTGCCCCCGGGGCTGACCTGCCGGGTGGGGGGCGGTCCGATCCCCAGCGCCTCTGGCCTTGGCTTGGCTTCGGTGTCTCACAGCGCGATTGAAGATGGAGTTTCTCTGGATCGGGATGTAGCAGTGGTCGCCTTTGTCTCCGTCCTGGTCATCCCAGGGAGCCTCCTCTTTTTCTGAGAGTGACTCAGGCCTCGCCATGGCCAGCTCAGCATCAGTGTTCCGTGAACTGCTCACTGATCCTCTCCAGGGCTTTGCCAAAAACTCAGATTCTTTGGTCTCCATGGAAATAGATCTAAAGGTTTCTCCACAGAAAGACGGAAGGGCACCAGCCTCCCCGGGCTCTGCCAGATTGGAGGGCTTTAGAACAGAAAGAGAACGATTTTCAGTTAGAGTTATCGGGCTGAGTACTCCATTCAGAGTATGGGATCATACTCCATTTGGGTTTGAGGAAATTTGGGATAATCTGCACATCCGGCCAACCACATCTTTGTGAATGAAAATTACAGCGTAACCACTGTAATTTGGGTGCATTCATGTATCATTTTATAATCGAGGCTTGTTTATACTATTCACAGGATGTACTTTGGGGGAAAGTGCTCTGTATAAGTAACTGGGAAGTAAACAGTCCTTGAATAATTCTAGAGAAAAAGAGTAGCAAAAACAGTGAGGGAATTCGGGAAAGCAACATGTACATGAAGACACCGGGGAGGAAAGGGGTGGTGGCCAGTGACAGCTCTCATGACAGCACATTTACAGATGAGCTTGCGTGTGTGAGCCCCACAGGGACAGATCTCTTGCTGTGGGCTGGGGCCAAGCTGGGAGCCATTGATAGGACCCTGCATGACACTGGGTGACAACAAAGCGCCACCCATGGCTGTCCTCTTGGGATGGAGGCGCAGAAGGGCTGCTTCCCTCTGGGACACTGTCCTCATGGGGTCACTTGTCACAGGACAAAGGGGTGCAGCAGGAGCGGCCCAGGACTCTCTAGGCAAAACCATCCCCCTCCCACCACAGCCAGGATGGGTGTGGGCTCCGATCAGGTGGACCCTTGGGTAAGCCGGAGGATAGCGTGCCAGCCAGCAGCCAGCTGGAGATCCTGTGATTTACCCTCACCCGAGGGGTTGGAATCTGGGGTCCCAGTGATTGTGGAAGTCTCCACACAAAGGCTGTGTGTTGGAACCCCTGATTTCCAGGTGACGGTTGAAACCTCTACCGTGCTCAAGGGGGTCGGAGACTTCAGAACTCTGGGAAGCAGCTCCTCTGAAAATGAGGAGAGCCAAGGGCTCCCTTCCCACTGCACCCGCTTCTTCCCCAGCCCATTTTCTTCCAGCCCAGCCCTGTCCAGCCTGAGGGCAGCAGGCGAGTTAGGGGTGTCAGGAGGAGCAGGGTTCTCCCCCAAGGCAGAGGATGTCTTTTTCCATCCGAGGCAGGAATCGGGACCTCAGCGTAGGGGGGTTGGAGGAGGGCTTGCAGCTCAGCTGTGCCCATTTACGGCCTTGCCCTGAGGAATGAGGTGAGCATTCTGTGACTGGCAGGTAGAGGTGTGCGAAGAAGGGGCACTGGCTGATTGCCTGAGGCTGGCAAATGCCACTTGGGTTTCTGGGCAAGCAGGGAGTAAGGTCTGGGACCATGAGGTCCCATCCAGCTGGAGAGGGCCGTGTAGTGGCCAGAAGGCCACACTGAGGTTGGGCAGCTAATGCCTCCTCCGTCCCAGGAGTGTCAAGAGGGATGCAGCTTAGCACAAATGTGGCAGTGTCACAGGGGGATTTTTCACTGACAGCAAGTCCAACCTGAGCCATTATAGGGATGCGGTCACAGCAACCAAACTGTCCCCGAGCCACGCAGGAGAACAGGGAGGGCAGAGAGCACAGAGGGTTCCCGAAGCCCTGGGCAGATCGGTCTGGGGCTCCGTGTCCATTCTGGGGGCAGGTGTCACACAGGGGTGGCAGATGAGCACCCGGACAATCCTGGGGCTAGGGTGAAGACTGAGGTATCAGGATCATGGCTGTGAGAAGAACAGGAGCTTGGCCTGCGGTGGCCAGGGTGACTGGGTGGCAGTGCCGTTGGCGGTCCAGGTGGTGGGAGCGAGGCCAGTTTGGGGTTTGAGCGCGCTGATTTGGGGCTAGCTTGAGAACCTGACTGGGAAGACGATCTGAAACGGGTATCTTCCTGCTCTAACCAGGCAGGATCTCAGCGAAGGGCCCCAGCATGGAACTTGTTTGGCATTCAAGGTCTTTACTATTGTCACCGTCACTATCATTTTAGGCAGCATTTGTCAAAAATTGAGGAAGGAGCGCAGAGTAGGAGACTCTTGGCACACACCTCTGAGTTTGGACAAACGCAACAGCTTGTGGGACACCTCCCTAAAGGCGTAAGACAGCAACCCGCCCCAAGGAGCTCCCAGTTCCCGCCGACGCAGCCCCAACCTTGGCGAGCTTCCCTCCCTCTGCATTCTCTGGTCACTGAGGTGGGCCTGGTGGGGGGTTGTTTCTGGTGGCTCCTTTCGGCCGTCCTGTTCTGTGTCCAGAAAGGCCGAGAGCCCCCAGAGAACGCTCCCTGCATGACAACAACAGGATGGGTCTCAAGCCACCCCAGCCACTTTCTTTAAATGAGGAGGCTCTCGGGCTGGGGATTTAGCTCAGTAGTTCTGCTGCCTGCCTCACAAGCACAAGGTCCTGAGTTTGATCCCCAGGAAAAAAAAAAAAGAGGAGGCTCAAAACCCTGATGAAATGGATGCTCAAATCTTACCATCACTAAAGACCATCACACACACAACACACACAGAAAGAGAAACATACTGTAACTTGTAAGATTATCTGAAAAACGACTTCCACTTCAATTATTGACTATTTCAGGCAGATGTGTTCATGGCCTGGAATGTTTTTGTAATTACTTTGACTCTAGTGCATTCGTTAACTCCTGGAAAACTTATCAGCCCCACTCCCACCCACCCACCCACCCAATTTGTTAATGTTTCTCTTAAAATTCCTTGGTAGCTTTGAGGTCCTTGTAAACCCTGGAGGAGAGCCACGGGACAGCTTTGGGACCCGAAGTGGGGAGGGAGTTTGGGGAGCGTAGAACATCCATCCATCCACCCACCTGACCATCCATCCGCTCATCAGACATTGACTGGCGCCTGCTGAACTGTGACACATCTTTGGTTTTGGGTTTTTTTGTTTTGTTTTGTTTTGTTTTTTCTGGGGATCACACTCAGAACCTTGAGCTTGTAAGGCAGGCGGCAGAACCACTGAGCTAAATCCCCAGCCCCTACACGTCTTTGTTTTATGTCTCTCCACACTCCTTGCTCTGTAAGAGCAGGACTTGGTTCATTTGCTTCACGAGCACCCCCCATGCCAGGCGCCCACAGCACCCTGCAAGCCTCTGGGTGAGTGCATGGACGGAAGGCTCTCCTTAAACCCCGCCGTCCCAGTGTGAAGTCCGCTGCCAGTCAGCCTCACTGTGCAGGCTGAGCAAGTTCTGCATGTGCCTGCCAGCGGATCGTGGGCCCAGGGTCGCACCCATCTATCTGACTCATGCGGTCCGAAGACACCGGCCAGATGCTGGCTGCAGACAGGCCTGGTGAATCAGAGGCAGGAGCGCCCTTCTCTCTGCCCTGGGTGATCAGGATGTGGCTGGGGCAGGAGCCAAGGGTGGCGCTCAGGGCTCCAGCAGCCGGCTGAGGGATGGGGGTCTTGGAGGTCAGGACGCAAGGGTGTGTACAGGAGGGGCCGAGCGGTGGCTGCCGACCCAGTGGTGGCGCGGAAGTCAGCTGCAAGTTGGGGGAGCACAGCGGGTGGAGAGGCGGGGCCCCTGGACAGCGCTCCCCAGACTTCCCAAAGTGCGGACGCCAGAGGCTCTTGCTGAAATCCAAACTCTGACTCAAGAGCGCCGGGTGGGGTGGAAACTGCACTTGGACCGTCTCTGGGAGGAGCCTGCTCTGCCAGCCCAGCCCGGCGACACCAGGTGGGAGGTGCGGCCAGGGAACGGCCCAAAGAGCTCGAGAGGGCCGGGGTAACTCAGGGACAGTAGAAAGGGCTCGAATGCAGCCCAGGCAGCGTCCCAGGGAGAGGGGGCTTGCGGAGGCAAAATCCAACCCCCAGGACCTCCCCGAGGAGAGGTGGCTGGAGCCCCCAGCTCAGCGTCCCGAAGGTGAAAGGCAGGGGTTGCCCTGGGGTGTGAACAACAAAGGCTTTTTTGTTTTTGTACCGGGGATTGAACTCAGGTCCTTGCACTTGCAAGGCAGGCCATTGAACCGCTGAGCTAAACCCCTGGCCCCAACAAAGGCTTTTTTAAAAAAATTCCCTCCTGGATCAAAGAGGGGAGGCGGGGGCCGTTAGGATTTTAGGCAGCAGAGGGAAACACCTGAAGTGTCGGGTGTGGAAAGGCTGGCGAGCACCCTGCGCGTGGAGGATGGTCTGGGCCCTGCGAAGCGGGATTCCGGGAGGCTCTGCCTGCGTTGAGAGAGGGTACATTTGCGGGAAGCCGGCCTGGAAATGTTCCACCATGTAGGGTCCAGCCCAGGCCTCGAAGGTTAAATACTAACCGCACTGCCTCAGAACAAGACTTAGGGTTCACCTCCAGAGGTCCCCCAGAGCCTCACGTGACCATAGGCGGGGGTTTGGAAGGCGAGCAGGTTGGGGGGGGGCTCCGAGCCCCCTGCTGTGAGGGGCGGGGGGCCCTGGGAAGAGGCGTCGCCGTGGGCGTGGCCTGGAAGGCTCTCCTCCCTCCGGGCCCCGCCCTTCTCGCGCCTCCTCCTGGACCTTGCGCGGCTGTCCTGTGCCAGGCCCGGTGCCACGCCGTCCTGTCTTGGTGCCAGCGGACTCTGGACTGGCACGTGAGCCATAATAAACCTCTCCTTAAATTGTAAGTGTTGGATGTTGTGTCTCAGCGTCAAGGAAAGTGACACAATTTAACAATCAGCTTTCCCTCCCTCTCCTTCCTTACTTCCTTCCTCCAGTCCTTCCTTCCAAGGAACCCAGGGCCTGGTGAGTGCTAGGCAAAGGCTCTACCGCTGAGCCACACCGCAGCCCCGGTCAGCCACAGCTTCGAATCCAAACAGCCTCTGAGATGGGAACGCCGACACCCGCTGAGATCCAGGAACCTTCTGAAGCTGTCTTTGTCTGTCACCCTCGCAGTCTGTGGCTTTTGCACACAGAGTGGGAAGTGGTTCAGAAAGAGGGGTGCATTCCTGTGCGAGCGGACCGAGGGTCAAGTGCGTGCAGCAGCCCGTTCTCAGAGGGCACAGAAGTCGCCGATGGGGCCCCGGCCCTAGGATCCGGATGTGGTCCAGAGGGGCTGAGCCGAGCTTCTACTTTACATGAAGGAGTTGAGACGCGAGAGGGCAAAGGGGCACAGCC